ACTATGCAATTAAATTTTACAATTCGCTTCCATGTCTTCTATTTCAATTTGTCCGTTGTCTTGCATAGAAATAATATTGTTTTTCTTTGTACATATTGGACCAAGACTTAGTTTATCTTCTTTCTATCAACATATCGACGCTAGCAATTCTAGGAAATGGAAATGTGACTTCCCAGGTCCAATTCCGGGATGACTAACAAGGAAAACATAGCATAATTGGCGGGAATGTCAAATCCACAATAAAACTTAGAAATATTTATACGGAAAAGACTAACTATCAAAATTTATGTAGAAAAATCCAGTGTCTATGCTGGGAATCGAACTCAAGACCTTTAGCATATAGACCCACGATTCATACCCCATACGAAAGATTTGATTCTACGCCCCCTCTTTCAAATATCCTAGAAAAGCCCCTGGAAGCAGGGGTATCCAGAAAACCCCGCTCGTCACACCCTGTGGTCAAAATCCATTGTTATTCGTAACAATAGATCTATTCAATTTACACTTGTTTCAGAAATAGAAACTATGAAGTATAACAATAGAACTGGGGTGTAAAATAACACTATTGACTATCATAAAGTTTTTAAATGAATTGGAAAGGAAATTAACTGTCCCAAAAGGAAGGAGATAAATACAATAAAACGGATTTCAGAATTTCAGCCAAACAATAAAAGAAAATTCAGCTCAGAAAAAAGCACCAAAGCACTGCGCAGGATATACAATTCCCGTACTACCATATGCATGACTATAAATGTCAAGGATAAAAAAGACAAAGACATTCTGACGGCCTCAAGTTTCTAACATATTTTGACAATGTATTGACATTTCAAACTTATTAAAAACAGTATCGCACACACATTTTCCATAGAAAAAAATAATTTAAACAACCATGTAAGCTATCATGAATGACACTTGTTGTTTTTGTGTACTTCTACTTTTACTGTTATACTTTGTTGTATACTACTTCCTTAAATAATATGTTGATAGATATAAGAAGATGTGGTATGAGTGCCAATGAGACAACTATCCATCCAAGTCAAAATTTATAAAAGTAAACCATTACAGGTCACAGTACGGTCTTCAACACGGAGCCTTGGCTCACGCCGAACAGTAAGCTATAAAGGACCCCAAAAATTACTAGTGTAAAACCATTCAAACGGGAAAACCAACGGTCTAATCTATATAAAAAACGAGAAACGAGAAACACTTATGAACCACATCAACAAACGACAACTACTGAACATCAGATTCCTGACTTAGGACAGGTGCAAACAAATGCAGCGGGTTTAAACGTTTTAATGGTACCAAACCTTCACCCTTTTTATGAAACAATAGTGTAACATCACAACATAGAAAGACACACTATAAAATATCAACTGAAATAGCTTAACTCAATCAAAGGACATATGAGTATACATCTTTTCGCTCGAAACTATAATCATTTCCCTTTAGAAACTTGATTAGCTATACAGAAGAAAGGCGGAAAATAGCAAAGGGAATTCCATTCAACTTATAAGTCCAAGAAAAACTGAAAACGTCTGTACACATTATGTTGGAAATCCCTGTTACAAATCCCCAAAATCAATGCAAATTTACAGTTATCTTCTAAGATATTGTCAATCACAAACTTTTCCAACCAATTTGTATGAAAAGATGACTAGAAGAATCGCTATTTTCTAAAATTTATTTAACTTGCTAACAAAGGTCTTATTGCAGTGTTTAGCCTTTATCATAATTAGATCGATTCTAAACAACCTCCCTAATGTAAAGACGAATATGTTCCAATCATCTTTGATACCTATAATTGTTAACACTCCATTTGCGACTAAATTTTTTTAGTTGCAAACACGTGTTGCAGAATCTCAATATTGTGCGTAGACTAACAATTCATATATTATCCGGTTGGACTAGTTATAACTGATAACATAAACACTATAACAATAACACCTTTCTAAAAGAGAGGCGAAAGATATACCAAAGGGACGTTCAAACTCATAAGTCTAAACATACTGACAACGTCATGGCAACGGAAAAAACGAGAAACGACCAAAAGACAAACAATACCATACAAAACACAACATAGAAAACTAAAGACAGAGCAACACAAACTCCACCAAAAACTGGTGGTGATCGCAGGTGTCTCAGAAGGGTAAGCAGATCCTACTAAAAATAGTGTGTAAGCTAAAATTTTAAAGAAAAAAAAAACGAAAATAATGATGATAAATAAATAATGTGATAAAAAATCGTTAGACATACTGATTTTATAGATTGTCAAGGTTTATGTCAGACAATGAACAAAACGTAAAATAAATATTGCATATACTCTTTCGAATGTATTAAAGTGTGAGGTTGTCGATAGGAATCAGAAATAAACACCTTAATGTCTCTATGAATATCCATCCTCGATCTTTCTTCAGATACTTAATTTTGCTTAATACATGTCTTACCACCAAGAAAAATATGGTATTGTCCCTACAGATGGCCAAAACGATACTTTTTTTGTGTAAATAACATTATATAAACTGCTTGATAAGGGAATTAGGCATTGACAAACCTGCATTAACTTCAACGACACATAATATATAGATATAAGAAGATGTGGTATAAGTGCCAACAAGAAATCTCTCCATCCAAGTCACAATTTGTCAAAGTAAACCATTATAGGTCAAAGTACGGCCTTCAACATGGAGCCTTGGCTCACACCGAACAGCAAGCTATAAAGGGCCCCCAAAATGACTAGTGTAAAACCAAACAGGAAAACCAACGGTCTAATCTATATAAAAAACGAGAAACGAGGTATGTTTATGTTCCTTTAAAATTCCAATCATAAGAAAATGAACTGGATCTTTCTTCACTCTTATTGATACTCAAAACTAATATCTAACTCTGTCAAATGTTCTACGAAACCTCTTTTCAAATTATTAACATCGTTTTACCAGCGATCAAACCCCAACTTCAGAGTAACTTTCAAATTTACTACACCAGGATAGGTGTGAATCCAATATGCACATAAACAACAACTCCAAAGAAAAGTTCGAGTACTTTCTACTACTTGGCGCCAAAACGTTTAAGCCTGATATCTATGATGAGTTTATCTATCTATCTATATCTATATATCTATATTCCTCTCCTCTTGCAAAGAATAGAAATATAATGCTTCTCTATACTTGATACAAGATTTCCATCTGTGTTACTCTTCTAGTCGACTTGTTCTTTTATTCATACGGTGCTAAACTTCATAAGTTGTATTGCATTTGACTAAAATGCTTTTATCATTATCATACATGGGGCGTCTAAAGAAAAACCCCAAAAAGTTATCATTTTCATTAACTTCACGATCCGTTATTTAATTGATGTCCTCTCTCTGAATAATGATAATTTATAAGTTTGGTGACTACATTGATCGCATATATCACATCAACTTGAAATAAAGGATACCACCGATACATATCTTGACTTAGGTCGTCTGCTCCATACCTTTACTTACGTCGCCTGTCTCGTATCTTTCTTACACCATCTGCTTCATATCGAAATTAAAAACTTACTCTTTAGAACAAAGATTTTCCCATTGTTAATTTATCATTTGTGTGTAACAAAACTCCAATAGTACCTGCATATGGAGTATATATCTCCTAGCTGATAGGATATTCCTGGGCTTGCGTTTCCTATTATGATTTCCTTGATACAGGGTTTGCTACGTACAACGAAACTTTTAATACAAGGATTCGTAAGGATAAAGGTTTAACTCATCCTTTCAAGTACGGAATATTACAGTTGTTTTTATTCGTTTCATTAGTTGATATAGTCGAGTGTTTGATTGTGTCCGGTCTTATGGACTCCCCTCTTTTTGAATTTACCTTGTAGCTCGGTATTTTTATAATACTTTTTTCAAATGTTTTACAGACAAAATTGATTTGCTTGAACGTTATTCAATTTCTGTGCCAAACTTGACAACGGATATGTTTCAGTTCTACCTGTCGTAGCCACAATCCAGTCTATTTTCTTCATTTATAACATAACCATTCTCCCGCCGGATGTTTTATGATCAAAACGACGGCTATTACTGGTTGAGCAGAAACTGCGAACCCTTTCAGATCACCTGAGTTGCTCAATATTTACTTTTCTGTGCAATGCATTGTTAACTGTTGTTTGTTTGTTTGTTTGGTTTTGTTTTTCTTTAGATTATGGTGTTGTCTGTGTATCTTTGACATCTGTTTTTTTTATATCTTCTCCTTATCTTATACGTTACTGAAAATTACTTTTTTCCAGCAGATACCCTTTTGACATAAATCCTTTTCTCCCATGTAAAAAAAAAGACGTTCCGATGTCCATTTTAAGTTAAAATTCGAATTTTCATTTAAAAAGTAATAAAGATGTCGACAGCTTATTAATAATTAAAGTTATATCTAAAGAAAAGTTTTTAAACTTATTTTTCGTTTACGGAAATGGATATTTGTTTCTGAATTAAACATTGTTGAAATGGCAAAAGTCAATACAATGACGAGTCATACTCTGTCAGGAACGTTAGAAACATTTGATTAAGAATTTCATACAAGAATATTTCAATGGGCTATAAAAAAGTCAAAGAATCGAAGATTGACAAAACACCATGACTAAATGGAAAATAACGAAAAGGAAAACAATGCAAATGATAGTTATAAAACCTTGCATAGTAAATTTACTCAAACTTGAGGAACATGAACCTCACTAAAAACTGCAGATGAAATCAGATGCACCGGAAGATATATCAGATGTTTGGGTGTAGTTGGGTAGTTTGTTGTATAAAATGATAAATATTTTTATTTGTTTGTTGTCGTCAAGAAAGGCTGAATGTATATTTAGTGTGAAAAACTATCATAGTAAATTTTAATTGCCTGGTTTTGTAACTTATTTGAATATAAAAAACGTTTCATTAATTGCATCGGTGTTAGATAAGTGGCTAGATCAAAATCAGATATATTTAAATACTATATGCGTACATATATCTGTAAATAGCTTTTAAGGATTTTGAACGTTGAATACGATTAATCTCTATAAAATAATTTTGGTATTTATCTTAACGTCTGAATTTTAAATCTGACTAAAGGTCATCATATTCAAAGTTGACCGGACATGTGTGCATTGAACTAAATGTTACTCGTCCGGATGTAGTACATTACAGTAATTTATTGTTTTTTTAATATTTAACATTATCTAGATGGTCGTGATATTTAAGTGACGGCAATTACGCTCTTCCAACCACCATTCAAACGATATACGATATAATGTGAAATTGGATTCAAGCCAGGACAAGAAGTTTCCTGTTAGATAGATGTTTTGTATTCGGATTTCATTTTTAAAAGAAAATTCTTCGGAGAGACACGTATCAATATACGAATGTCGACAAGACAATTTTTCTTATAATTGGAATTTAAAGGTAGGATATTATTATTTTGAAATATGTACATGTATATATGTACAAACTATAACGTAATTTTTACCTGTATGTAAAGGTATACAGGAAGTTATTTAATCTAAATACCTTCTTATTATTTATCTCCGTTTACATGGACTTTAACCACAATATAAGGTGATTTTCCATGCGTGATAATACAAACAAACAGAAGGAGCTATTGTTTTCAATATTTGCTAATAATGCTTATGTTAACAATAAGTTCTATCTTTAATTACATATTTTAAAGCTGTTTACGTATTTATTTCAACGATGTGTATTTCTCATAGGATAAACATAAGGGGACGACCATTTGATATTCTGGGGGGGGGGGGGGGGGGGGGGGGGGGCAGGAGGATTTGTTTTTGATCGGTTATTTATTTTTGTAAACTAAGAGGACAGATTATCTATTTTCTGCACTGTTGAAGCAAGATTTTTCATTTTCATTAAAGCAAGGGACTGATTATTTATTTTCACAACTATATTTATAATATTTGAAAACATACAATTTTTAAATTCATTTTTTATTATAAATAATACATGAATAGTCCAATCATTATGTACCATTTAATCAGAATTAATCATTCTGAAAAAAATTTGAAGGGTTTTGGAGCCGCTGAAGGCCCCATGTTGCTATAGAACTAATGATGCAAAATGTGTTTCCCATACCCTTTCTTAATCTGAAAATGAAAGTTCTGTTTTAATCATTTTTTGACAATATTTTGGTCTCAAAGCAACATGTATAGATTCAGTGTAAGACTTAAGTTTTTAGGAACAACATCAAAAGACAAATATAAAGCAAAAATTTAATTCACATAGTTAAGTATGTGGCTGCTGTTTTTTTTTAAACTCTTGATCAAGTTAATAACAAAATTACTAAATTACAAAAGGAATGCAACACTAACAGAATACAGAAGGGCAATCAATGAACAAAAGACAAATAAATAAGAAACATTGATCCCCAAAAAACAGGAGCTACGTCTGAGGGAGAACAGAACTTGCTTCTTACAAGACACTTGCCGTGAAAACAATTTGATATGAAGACAAGCTTTTGGTTTTGAAATTTCCTACATGAGGCATTTGCCTGAATGTAGTTACTGCCATATGTAATAAAAGTGAGTTAAGTGTTCCTGAGACAATATACCTCAAGTTAAATGAAACCCATTTTTCAGACATTTCAAGTTTTTTAAATAATATTTATACTTTTATTAATCAAAGATTTGGGAAGTGATTCCCGATTTTTTTTGAAAAAAAAGTTGAATTTTATGAAGAATCTGGTGCAATCTCATGCTCTCAAATAGACCTGCCGAGTTATTTATTTTTAATACATTGCAAGTCAGGTTATTTATTTTCAAACTACCACAGAACAAACCATTTATTTTTGTGATTATCAAGGCTGAGTTATTTATTTTCAAAATCCTCCTGCCCCCCCCCCCCCCCCCCCCCTCCAGAATATCAAATGGTCGTCCCCTAAGCGCCCCGGTAAAAAGTGTATTGAATCTTTAGCACATTTTAATGTATAATTAAAACAACAATACCCAACAGAGACCTTATCTTCAATCACCAAAGGTAAATATACATAGAAGGATATATTGTTGTTGTTTTGTATTGTTTCATAGCACGAAATAAATAAGAAATGATGATGCTCCTTCTTAATTTTCCGATTAAAAAGGTAAATGGACTCGAAAAGTGTCAGTTTTAATAATTTTTTGTGGACTACTAATTTTTAGTACTTTAATTAAAAACTATTAAATTCTTAGATAATGTGTCACATTTTTCATGAATATTGTTTCATTTCAAGTATAAAGAATTTATCCAAATCAATTTATTAACACTGGAGAAATTCGGATAATTGTTCATTTTGGAACCTATTCCCTATTTGACGTGTCGTGCTCAAATTAACCTGTTAAATGATTAAAAGCAAAAAAATCATTTTTGTTTGTTTTTGTTCTATTTAATTTGAAATGACTTATTTGACATGATCAATGTAGAGCAATATTCTGTCCTCTGTAAGTTTGTGGCTAACATTGAATTTATTATACATGTTACTAGTCTAATCATATATAAAAATCTAACAAAAATCTTTTTTAAAAGCTTTGTCTAAAGACGAAGGCCGACACACAATTAGTTTTCACATTGTCCTTCAGTACTGCCTTGAGAGGGATTAAGTTTACAGGGGTATATCAACTTTTATCATATAATTGCATGATATAGCAAAATTACGAGGACAAGACATAGAAACCATTTACTTATTCTGAAACCGAACAATTGAAAACATTCTCACAATGAAAACGTGTTCAGTCAGCCTTATGAAATAACAATAAAATAGTTTTATATGCGATGTATTAAAAAAGGGGGTATGGAAATTAACCCATCTCAATTGACAATTCTATGGGAATATATACATGTAGTTAAACTGGTACATCGCCCACCTATATGTGACCTTTATCATGTCAATTTTCATAAATTTCTACTTGTTTAACTGTTTAAGATATTGTCATGTCTTATGACACGATGGGACACTTGTATAAGTGGTTATTAAGATGTTACATCTGATATAGACGACCCAGATCATTAAATGAAATATTATTAATACTTGACCGGTAATTTTCTTTGAATCATAATTGAGTGTTAAGTAATATTTTAACTAATATTTGATCACAATTGTAAGTTCTAAAGCCTAAATCTTGTTAAAGGATTTAACGGTTTAAATGTTAATGAATACAAGGACAGAATAATTATTTAAAGAAGACTAACATTTTCGGATTAGTTGATTGCGGATTTGAGACTAAGGACAGGTTCCATTATATTTCACCAACACGTGGTCTGGAAAGTTAAAACACATTCAAACATGGACTCTGTATTATTACCAAGTTAATGACATAGGTAAGAAATCATTTTGAAATTTTAGAAAGTTATCTAGCATTTAAAAAAGTTGCCATGATTTAAGGTGTTAATTGATATGCAAAGATTTAATTCATTGAATCAATAAGAACAGCCAAACATTAAATAAACGCATTAATCAAAGTTTGGTGACTATGTATAGCAGGATTTGCTTACCATGTCGACGATCCCAGTCTCGCTGCTTTTGGAGTTCATGCGATTCCCTCAGGTTTTTTTTAACTCGATTTGTCTCTTCCTATTTGATATACGAGATATAAACATAGATAAACTACTGTCGCCTTAATTGATCCCATCTATCCAATTGAATGGGGAATAAAGGATATCGCAGACATAGTTTATCTGCTTCATTTCTTGACTTACATCTACAAAATTGACAATGATATTCGGTTGAGAGATTAACTTTAGAACGAAAGATATGATTGAAAGATTCGCATTTTGAATTTTTTTTTTACTTGACATTTAAGCAGCCACTGCGTGTGATGTGTTTTTCGCCACGTTTTCACGATATTCCAGGTCTTTAGTTTGCTATCATAGCTTCCTTGATAGAGGATTGCAGATTACACGGAGGATATACACGTAGAAACAAGGGTTTCAAATGGTACAGATGAAGTCTTCCCTTAAAGCGTTTACGGACGCCATTTATGGAATATCTATGTCACATATGTGTTGCAGTTGTCGTAGCCACAATTCCATTCTATTTTGTTCAATTGTGACATTTTTGAAATTCAATCGATCAGATAAAACTTGACATGAACAAAACGACGGGTGCATAGAACTAGTTGAACAGGAACTGATTATCCTTTAGAAGCACATGATTTTAACCCCGTTTTTTGTTGGTGTGGACTGATTTATCCATGAACTACAACAATATTTAAAAAATAACTAAAAATGTTCATTTTTTTCCCACTTTTTAAAATAAAGCGTACAACTGTGACGTCTAAATAAAGGCAACAGTAGTATACCGCTGTTCAATAGTCATATTTCGATTAAGCAAAAACAAATCCGGGTAACAAACTAAAACCGATGTCTGAACAACCAGGAGGTTCACAAAAAAATCATATAATTTGTGAAGCTTTAAATATATATTACAGACATTTTTCTTAGCTTGTTGTCTGTATTTTAAGAATACAAAATTTTGCTTTACTATGGGCTTTTTACTTTTAAAAAAATGTTTTCAAGACTTCTAAAATCTTCAATACTACTATCGTTAATGAAATGGGTTAAACTAAGTTATTTTACAATACAAAATCGTATACAGTAGTTTGACAAACGAACGGTTTAATGATTTTATGGATATACAATTTTGTAGTTTGTTTTGAAATATGTACTGAATGAAAATTAGAAAACTTTCAATTGAGTTAGCATTTTAAATGAATATATTTTTATTAGATTTAATATTAATATTATTTATTTCTTTTTGGTACCCATGTCGATATGCGAACAGTGGTCAAGCAGATATATATCTTCACCTTTTATTTATCTGTTGACATTAGTAATCTGCTATGACGTTGCTATTTGACGTTTGAGAAAACATTTAACACATGAGAGAATAATAGAAGATTCATGCAATCGATTAAAAATCAATATTGATTTAGAATTCAAAATCAAACACTGACTTATATATACAGGGCATCCAAACAGTTTAGTGGATTTTAAACCGGTGATTGCACTTGAAAAATTTCTGACGTGCGCTATTTAACGTTTTACAATTTACTCAGAAAACTTATTGTAGCAAAAGGTGAAATGTTATCACTATATCATCATTTTCTTGTAAATTTAAGGAACTGGATACTCGGTCATATTATATCAGTATATCTTTGTTAAGAAAACACGACTCTCTTACCGTGTTAAATGAATATAGGAAGTTAAACTGTTTGTACTAATCTTAAGAATGATAAATATGTCACTTTGTCACGGGACGTGTATCTAAAACTTCCCTCTTTTGCAGGTCTTGCTTGTTAAAGGAAATATAACATGAATAGAATCAATAGAAACAGAGGAATATAGAAAAATGAATTACAGTTTTACTCAAAATAGGACTATAACAGTCATGCCTTACAACAGCAATCACAGTGAAAACTATTCCAATTTGGACACAACGGACTTGCTGCGTCGACTGAACGATGGAAAAGTTGTTGTGTTGCTTCCGGTTATTATTCTAGTCTTTTTAATGATGATAATAGGAATTATTGGAAATACTATAGTTTGCATTGTTTATATATTCAAAATCAAGCGAGCTCCGTCTCATTATTTCATACTATATTTGGCTATACTCGATCTAGTGTCATGTTCCATTGGGATGCCATCGGAACTGGCCGATCTGTTTCAACCATTTGTGTTCCCATCTGCAGCTGCATGCAAATTTTTGAGATTTGTTTTAAGCTTTACGATAATCTCATCTTGCATCATACTCATTTGCGTAGCTTTTGACAGATACTATAAAGTGTGTAAGCCTTTAAAAAGTTTTCCAATGGCTAAAGTTCAGAAACTATGTCTATTTTCATTTTTCATTGGAGCAGTTTTTTCGTGGCCAGCACTAGTTATATACGGTTTAAGAAATGCCTTGACCTCTGTGCCAAATTTGTATGGACAAGAGTGTTCAACTTCAGACACAATGAAAGGAAAGCCATGGCCCCTTATTTATTACGGCACATTAATTGGAGCATTTACTATAACGTTTGCCATTTTCGTGACGTTGTACGTGCTGATAGGGCGTGAGATTAACCGACGGCGGACTATGTTTGTCGGCAGCAGAATAAACAATGATAGAATAAAATCTTTAGTCAGCGAGGAAGAATCTACAACATTTTCTGATGACGACAGTAAATTTCACAAAAATAAAGTACGTAAATCTAGTAGTTTCAGTCAGTTAAAGGAACATATAGTATACTACTTCCGGGCAGAGAGCGAACCAGGAAAAGGAGATGATAGTAACAACGTATCAAGCAATGGCGGTACAGTAAAGCGAAGACGGAAATCTTCAAGGAGATATCTGAGAACTACATATATATTTTTGGCAGTTTTTATAGCTTTTTTGGTTAGCTTTGTTCCATATCTTGTTGTAAATATTTTACGTTTTTCTAAAGTTGCATTTGTAGACATGAATTCAGGACCCGATGAAATTATTTACAATTTGTGTGTAAGGTCTTATTTTATCAGCAATTTTATCAATCCGATCATATATAGCCTGATGAACAACACATTTAGAAAAGAAAGTAAAAAACTATTAAGAAAGTGTAGATTGAATTGATGCAATCTGAATTTGTAGTTATGGAAAAGTTTTGTCATGAAATGTACAAAAAGGTTAGCATTTAGCAGTATTTCTTTATGGTGCTTTTAAACAAAAATCTTTTCTTAATAAAATAAAATTGTAAAATATAGAGTTATTTTATTTACCAACCAAAAAATCGTTCGAAATCAAATTTTACCAGCAAACAACAGCGAATTGGAATACGTCGTAAATAATACATCATATTTAAAATAAACAGTTGAAAGAAAAATATATACCTTTCTTTGCCCACGAATTTGCGAAAAAAAGATATTGAGACCTTCTAAAACCCATAAAGTATTTCCACAAAAGAGACCCGGAAAATACCAAAGGAATATTCAAGCTCATAATGTGGAAACACACTGACAATTAACGCACTGGCAAAAAACGAAAAACAACAAAAACAAACAATTCATTCACAAAATAAAGCATGAAAAACTAAAGAATTCCATAACGGTCAACCAACAAGTGATGGCGTCTGTAAAGTTTCGAAGGGATGACTTCAACTTCACCACTTTGAACCCTTGGTTTAATAGCTTCCTGGTAAGCAGCAATCTTCTATAAAGGAAATCATTTTAGGAAATGCATGTTTAGTCTACAGAAAACTCACCAGTGACGCTCGAATAAAAAAAAAAAAATAAACCAGATAAAATTCGAAGTCGAAGTTGATGACCAAAATATCCAAAGGGTTTTGTCAAATACAGCTAATGTAATCTATTCCTGGGATATAAAACATTAGTATTTCGAAAAATTAAAAGTTTTGTAAACAATTACTTAATAGTTTTGACCATTCATGTGAACACAAAGGTGCTGACTAAGTTTTTAAAAATTTACGTTACGGGGCTTTCAAATCATTGATTTGGTTGAAAACATTATAATTGAAAGGGAAAATTAACACAATTACCATTCCTGCAAAATGCTGCATTTCAATTATGAAGGACAACTTCCTTCAATCAATTATAACAAAAGTTTGGATGTAATTATCTAACTGACATAATAAAATTCAGTCAGGAACTATATTGTTTTTTTTTCTATTCATGCTATTGTTAATATCTCAAATCAAAGGAAATGCACAAAAATCCTCATGAAAACACTTTATATATCAATATAGGGAAATTGTTCGAATTAAAAATGATCAGTTGTATCAATCGGGAAAATTTTAGATATAGAAAGTCAAGTTTGTTATTAGTTACTCAATGATTTACTATTGTTCCGATGCCTTGCTTGCAGTCAGTTTCAGTCGGTATAGACCGTTTTCAAATAGTCCACCATGCATTGTAATATCATAACTATCGAACTTTAACCATCATTATTTCAGTTTTTGTATAATTGAATTATTTGGACCGTCTGAATATATTGAAGATAAAATGTACGAAACCTTGAATTGAGACTACCATTTTGATCACCATTTTCAACATAAACCTTCCAGTTTTGTTATTTGTTTTTTTTTTAAACACAATGATTCCCTTTTGTTCAGTCCATTTCAACATGTTCAATCCCTTTTCAAAATATGTAGTGTTTTGCTGGTATTAAAAAAGTAAAATAACAAAAATACCGAACTGCAAGGAAAATTCAAAACGGAAAGTCTGTTCTCAAATGGCAAAATCAAAAGCTCAAACACATCAAACGAATGGAAAAAAGAACTATCATATTTTCTGTTGAAACTACAAAACTGAGTATAATCTAGGTATTTGAATGTAAAGCAGAAAAAATGTATGAAACTTTGAACTGCAAAGACAGGTTGATTAGAACATGCACAAAACTCAACAGGAAAAATGAAACTGCCTCATTTCTATTTGAAGACTTTAATTACAGCCAAAACTAGAATTAAAATTGTTTGATGTTGCTTACCTACCCACCTAAATTAGTAAAGAGCAGCCTACCGAAAAAAATTTATGACACAAACTGTCTTAAATTTTTTTTAAAGATTTTTTCCTGTTCTTCCGTTGTTTTTTTGTCTCAAACGGGTAACTGATGCTGTAGGCCAAATAAAAAAATAAAAAAAAAAAAACCTACCTTCCTACCCAACCTTAAAAAGCATGGGTAGGCAACATCAAACAAATACTTTCTTAAGGGTGTCTTAGGTAGTTTTTTTTCTTTTAACATGCTTTGAATACTCTATAAGTTAACGTGCAAAATTAAAAAAAAGTATAGAATAAAAACAGGAGGACAATTCTGTTTGTGTTATTTACTCACCACACAAAAAGAGTATGTCTGCAAATGCACAGCTATAGTTTTGGTTTATGTCACCGCATCGTTAATAGTCGTTTATAACATGCATGTAAATTTTGTATTTTATTAAACTAACGTTTTAAAAACACCTTTATAAAAATGACATATCATCGCTTCTGTTCATTAGAGACGCGGAAGCTACCAAGGGATAGTCAAACTCCTAAGTCGAAAACAAAGCGAAAATACCATTGCAAAAAACGAATAACGACCAAAAGACAAACAAAAGTTTACAAAATACAACATAGAAAATTTGAAGATTGAGAAACGCGAACCCTACAAAAAACTGAGGTACTCAGGGTTACCAGATCCTTGACTACATGTGGCACCCGTCGTGTTACTCATATAAGTATAAACCCGGTGATAAGTCTAATTCGGTAGTCATATTCGAGGAAAAGAAGACGAGAATGTGATAAAGACAGTTGGAACTCTGGATCGGTGTTGCTCTTAGTCTTACTTTGCTCTTGTTTTCCATACAAATGTCTCTGAGCGTTAAGACTTAAAATATATCTAGAAAAGCATATCGAAGGAAATTCATTCTGAGCGTGTCTATGAATATGGATCACTGGGAAAACCTTATTACTAGTATAACCCTTTCATGGTCTGGTGTATGAAAGTAAATATTGATCCAGACGCCAGTTTGTCCATGTTAGCTTACGGTTTCTAGGTGGAGATTTTAGAAGGAAATATATCACAAAAACTATAAACCAATTTCCAACATTATTTTGCTTATTCAGTTCAAACAAGACATATTGATTTCTGATTAGTTAGAGGAAGTATTTTGCTGATATGTATTTTTGGTACTTTCCCGTAAAGATATTTCATTTTACGCTTGTTTACCTGTGCGTCCTTCATACTTTGAGTGATTACAGTCAAATTTGACCTTTACTGGAAATTTGTGGAAATTGTTTCGGATTATTTATATAACCTCATTAATTCTTCCGAGAGTTTTTAAGAATTCTGTGATTTTTTTATGGGACACGTCATATATGTGAAATAAAAAAAACCTTGCACGTCCGGAGTTTTCATCGGTTTTAACTGGTGTTTAAACGCGTCTTAATTTAAGTATATTTGCTGTAATTTGAAATTTGAGGTTAATTCTTTACGATATAATATTTAAAAAAAAAAGAGGATTTTTTCAACTTAAATAATTAAAAAAAAATGCAGAAAAGTTGACAAATGTCAATGGGGGAAGGCATTGAATATCTTTTTGCCGACAGCAAACAGAGCATCAGCGAGAAAATTACTCGATTCACACAAAATGATTTTCATTATCATTGTTATCCTTGATATTTCAATCCCTGATATTTTACTTAATAGGATGATTACAATAATGATAAAATTCGACGTAAATTGCTGAGAATAAGTATCCGTTTGACACGCATCATTTTTTGATAATGTGTACTAGTATACAAAACATCAAAACATTTAATAAGTAAATCAACTATCTTGATGAGCCCCTTTGTTGTCTAAATTTTGTACTGCTTTTTAAAAATTTTGTAATGATATTATTTAAAAAATTATGCCAATATTTGTAAAGTTTCATTTCCGATAAAAGACTATAATTTGTTGACTAAGATCTGCCGCTTTTCCAAAGGAAATTTGTCTCAATCTTTCCATTTTAGACACCCTAAAGTTTCACAACATCATATAAAGGATCTTCAATTTAATGGAACATTTTCTTTACCCTTACATTACAGTGTCAAAATTGGAAAAAAAAAATAATACACGTCTCAATTTCATGAATAATGCTGAGGAAAAAACAATGTCTCTGCAATTCTTATTGATTACATTTGATTGTGTTTTATACCCCATTGTGTTATTTTGACTGAGTGTGGATCGCATCGCAGGTGGGTGATGCAAACATGGCGATAGACGCCTTTCCTGTTGGAGTTCAAATCATTCCATTGGTTGTTGTATTTATGGTTACTTTTTAATCGACAGGATATTAGTTAAGTTTTTGGATTCAGTTTTCGAGATAGACGGTATTTGAATGGCTATAAATTGCTCATACCTACTGACCGACTTGTTTCTGTACTCATATGAAACCATATTTATATAAAACCTTCTGAAAGAAAATCAAAAAGTATTATCTCGCGAAGTCCTTTAATTTCACTTTTAGATATATTGATGATATTCTGTCATAATAAACAAACATTTCATTGAGTGCTTTCATCTCATATAATATCATAGTGAACTTGAGATTAAAGAAAATATAACCGAAATTATAAGTGCAGAATCATATCTTGATCTTTTCCTTTATATGGTCACAGATGAACGACTTCAAACTAGAATCTATTAAAAACGTGATGAGTTCATCCTTTCAATTGTGAACTTGCTATTTATCAGCAGTAAAATATCCTCTGTCCTAATGTATGGTGTTAACATATCTCCTTTAATACGCTATGCTAATGTATTTGCACACTATATGGACTTCATGAACAGGTGGTGTACTCCTAATACGGAGACTTTTCTAACAGACTTATGAGGATGAACGACGGAAATCGACACGCCATACGTTTTACAGTTGCCATCACGAATTAGGTGATCGATACAGTATATATTTGTATTGACACACTAGCGACTTGCTTTGATGTCTTAGGTCTTAAGATACCAGGTAAGCCGTTCGATTTGTTAATTTTCCTTTTCGTGGTTGTTACATTTTGACTTAGCGTTGAATCGAATGCCGGTTGATACATACATAAGGAGACGTTTAAAAACTTTTACGGACACCATCACAAGTTGGTTGACTGTTATGGAATACTAGTATCTGTTTCAGAGATGACGATGGATATGTTCCAAATATCACTGAATTAGACTTATCAAAGAGTTCGTACTTACATGAGAAAAACGTCGGTTGCCGCATGTAAAGCAAAATATGCT